ACGCCCCCCCCCCCCTCCGTAAAAATCGCCGGGGGGGGGGGGGGGGAGTGTGTGAGGGGAATTGTTCCACGGTATTATTTCTTCTAAGAAGTGATTCTGAAATACCCTGAATGCCTCTATTAATAACTTCACAAATACAACAACTGGGCAATGTGCTTTTACAGAATAAACTATTTCTGCATCTTGCGGTATATGAAACAAGCAAACAAAGCTCCAAATGGAGAAGGATATACACAGGGGAGATCTCCCAAGACAAAAACCTGCTGGTGTACACAACCCATCTGAGGGAGAGTTGTTATTTACACAGAAGGTTTTGATAGAAAGGCAGGTCAGTACTAGGAACCTTTCCATATTCTTGGCAACTTTTAATGCTCTTCTTGAAGAAGGACAATCTGGAAAACAACAACTTGCTCCTCCAGGTGAAGGGAATGTTTTTCACTGCACAACTGATTTTACAACCCACAGCAGGAAACATGCCGCCACCTCCAGTGTGGGATATCCATTTATTTCTGCTCTCTGAGAGCAGAATTTAACCTCATGAGTTCCTGACTTTGCAATGGAAGTATGAAATACAAAGCAGAATGCTTCCCAGTGGTAAAAGAGAGCTACTTTTGAGAAGACAGGGGAAGCAGCACATTCAGTTACGTCTACCAAACAAGAGGCTAGAAAGAAGAGGGGCTAAACCAGTTTTTCAGAGCCCCTTTTTTGTTACCAGACATCGGAGTGCGTGGTGAAGACTCCATCCTTCAGTGATTCTGGGGACATCCAGCGGACAGGCAGCAAACCTTTCCCTCCTTTACGGTAATAATCTGTCTCGTAGATATCTCTTGTCATGCCAAAATCTAGAAGGAATAAATGTTTTGAGAAGGTGTAAATGTATTGAGTTTGCAGGATAAAATGATGAACTTTTCCCTTACTGCAAGTCATTGAAGCCAGCACAGAATCACAGTTTGGTGCAAAGAATTTGCAATCTCTGCAAACCCTGCCTTTCACCTGCTGTCTTAGGGCTGGTCAGCTTCCCTCCCAACAAAACCAACTGACTTCAGTAGGTGAGCAGCCTGAATGATTTAAACGTGAACAGTTCCAGATTTATGCTCAGGCTTTGCAGGAAGTCACATCTTCTGAAGGTCATACAATTCACTAATCTGCTCTCTGAATTCAACGATTTTCTCTTCCTTTTAAAGAGTGTAAAGAGCTCCTTTAGCAGTTAATACTATTGTCTCTAATTGAAGAATCTCACACGTTGAGGGAAATGCTTCTCTTTTTAATTCTCTCCAAGGGTAATTTCCAATTCCTGTACAATATTCCATCTCAAATGCCACAGAGGATTCATTTATGACTAACACAGGCCAGTATTAAAGACGTACTTTGTGTTACATGTATGTCCTTAACTGTAAACACGCAAGCATTTGCAAGACTTGGATCTAACACTGCTTGTCTCCGGACTGTAACTCAGTCTTAGCCCAGCATTTTTTCCCCATACTATCAGTTTGACACACACTGAACTGCTAGGTTTTGGACTAGCCTATTTAAACCACTTGCTGTGTTTTCAGACACTAACCAGAAAGTTAATAAATCAGGTGGCATCAAATCTCTTACTAATATTAAATGCTGGCTGCTAACACAGCAGACTCAGGGCAAAATCCATTTTACCAACAGAGACCTGAAGCTGCCCCTTGTTTTCTGGGAAAAGCAGAGCGAAAAGAGGACAGAATTCCTCCCGTTCTCACTCACAGTCTTTATTACTGGTCCATGGAAGTCATTATTACCAAGCTTGGATGAGTGACCAACCACTGATTGTTCTCGTTCCTTGTGTGCTAGGGACCACTGGTACCCTCAGTGATTATGACTAAAAAGCCCATCTGTGCAGCTATTCCATCACTCCCACACACCAGGGTGACTTTATCCTGGCTGAATGGAAAATTCTTTAAAGATGTAATGCAAATAAGAAACAGATAGGCAACAAGCAGAGGGTAGTGTAGCATAAAGCTCTTCCTCTGAGATCTAAACATCTGAGTTGGCGTGTTCCAGTCAAGATGCTCCTAAACCGTTTCTCCATGAAGGGATCTTCAGTACTGGTACATAAATGAGAGCAGTGCAGCACATTTCATGAAATGCTTTTGGGGTAACCATGTACCATGTTAAAGGGAAGAAATGTACCATCTCCAGTACAAAGAACTGTAAAACATGCTGAGGAGGGGGAAGAGGAGGGAGAAAACTAGAACGGGAAGGATTCAGGCTGACTTCCCCCAAACCTGCAGAAAATGCACAAAATCCCCCAAAGATCTTATTTCCTAATTAACTGACTCAAAATGAAATCATTTTTTCTTTCTCCCAAATGACAGGATTACTTACACAAATTATCAAAATAGCTGAGTTAAGCTCAGAGAAGAAGAATTAGTTTCCTACAGCAGAAGGCTGTTGCTATACATGTTATTTTAATATGCACAACTCAAAAACAGCCAAAAGCTTAAAATCATCCTCTGGAGAGAAGTCTGAAAAAACTCATCTGACACTATTTTGGAGGGATGGTGAAGGGAAAAACAGCAGAGCAGAAGAAAAGCCATTCTGTTGTCTGGAAAGCAGAACTCCAGTTCAGACTGGAAAGCACCCAGCTGAAGTCAAGCTTTACACTCCACTTCTAAATCAGATATACTTTAAAATGATCCTAAAATTCCTATCCTTGAATCAATAAACAGGAGGTGGAATTACTTTTGCACATTAGCAGACAAGTGAATGACAGACCAGTGGCAATGACACCATCCACCCAGATGTCTGCAGCATCTGCACCTTCAATCACTGCTTCACCAGTGCTTTTTAAACCCATATACTATACTATTTCCTCACTGGAACAACAGCAAGTAGAGGTATTCCAAGAGTTTCAACTCCAAATCACAACAAGCCTTCATAAGGAGCATGCTTCAGAAATTTTAACTAGAGCTAAGTTTTAAAAGGTCTTTTGAGCGGCTTTCAGAAATGAAAATGCCTTCTAAAATGCTGGGTTTTTTACAAGGATGATGGGTTTTATTTGTATAGCAGTCAAGAAAGCACACCTCCAATCTTCACTGTGAAGTCTTCTGCCACCATGCAGTTTCTCGCAGCAAGGTCCCTGTGAACAAACTTGTTGGCGTTGAGGTATGCCATCCCATCAGCAATCTCTCCTGCCATCTGAATCATCTTCTTCAGAGTGGGAGGGGCCTGGCCAGGATTATTCTGAGCAAGATTAAGAAGATAGAACATCAACCTGCAAGATACTATTTTTTCTTCTTATTGGTTTTTAAATGACATTATCAGAGTTCAGCCTGACATGATCCAGTCGAAACAGAAACTCAGGATTACGTACACTGTAGCTTAGTGGGAAAACTGGCCATATCAAGCCAGGTTACAAACATAACTCCTGAATAGCTGTTCTGTAACAGGCCATTCTATTTTAATGAACACAAGCCAGAAAGACTTTTTGGTACAAGGATGTTATCTTACATCTATGGAGTTTAAATACCCATCCATCCCTATGGGAGCCAAGAAGATATAATCAAGAAAGCCCGGAAGGACCAATGTGAGTTGGATCCCCAGGACGAAGAGATGGGTATGGGAGCTGCATGGTTAAATTATCATTTAACCCAGTGATCAGGCAAGCCCTCCATCCACACCTTATTGAAGCATCCTGCCTTTCTCCTCATACAGGTCCTCAGAAGAGTTTGCTCAACTCTACACTCCACATCAAGGAAAACAGGGAATTTGGGAACAGACAAGCACTGGCTGCTTTGGAGAGCACCAGCATACAGGACAGAAAAGCCAAGCACAGAGCTCATCATTTTGGTGATTTTTATATCATGTCACTGTCCCTTTTAATGAAGTTTGTTGAATTCAACCAAAACTATTTAAGTATAACCTGAAACATTATTAATCACAGATGCTAATCAAGCCTTTAGTCCCATAGTCCTACTGGTATTTCCTGAATCCTGTATTTAGTATGATTATTTTCTGTATCGAATCACTTAATCAATCTGTTCTTGCTAGATGCAATGCCCTCCATTTATATCATATTCATTCTCTTGTGCACATACTGTGCTCGCTTATTTGCATCAAAATTTCTACATCAAGGGCAAAAGTTACTGAACTCATTTTCTACATAGTCTACTATGATTTCAGTGGCAAGTGACCTATATGTCATCTTTATCCTTCAGACTCTCTATCATATGTGGCAATTTTAGCTGTTAGACTGATGGGCTACATATTAGAGTAGCATGTTAGCTAAGATACCACATTTTTACTTCCCAGCACGGGCAACAGGCAGGATATACAACATGAAACAATTACCCTACCATGCATGCTTCAACTAAGTAATTTTTAGTTTAGTATCTTAATGAGGAATCAGATTAGAGATTTAATTCAAAACTAGAAAACAGGACTCAGTAACACAAGAAGGGACATATTCCATGCAGCACACTGGGCTGTTTGCAACAGCTACCTCATGAAAAAAGGTGTTGCAGATCACAGAGCAGCTCATGTTTTGTTCTGAGAGCTTAAGGAGAAGGCCAAGAAAGGCTAATTGCCTGCTGCTTCCAACATTAGGCTGTTCCATTCAAGATGATTCTAACTGAAGAAATAAAGAAGCATCAAGCAGCTCCTCACTCACCTCTGTGTCTGGCCTCAATGATCTCAGGTAACTTTTGAGGTCCCCACGCGTCATCAGCTCCATGATAACCAGTGTAGGCTGGCCCTGAGAAACAACACCAAGCAGCCGAACCTGGAAAAGACAAATGTTCAGTTATAAATAACAGCTAACTGAACTATAGCAACCATTTATTCATGTTGAGATATAGCCCCAGACATCTGTGAACCTGCAGGAAATGTCTGAAAGTAGATCTGGTTCCACCTGCTGAATCCTGCTTCACAGTAACATTACAAAGCTGCACAGAGTTGAACCTAAAATCCCGTCAGTGAGGATGTACACCCTGAACACCCTCATGTCAACAAGCACCACAGCTGTATGAATCACAGCCTTGTCACAACTTACCACATGGTGACAATTGAACTCCTTCATCACCGAGGCCTCATTTAAGAACTCTATCCTCTCACGCATACTTGCAGACTCATTGACAGTCTTGATGGCCACCCTGGTCTCTGGCTCATCCTTCACCACTCCCTTGGCTATTCCCTCATACACCATTCCAAAGGAGCCTTGACCAAGCTCCCGACACATGGTGATCTTCTCACGCGGCACCTCCCATTCATCTGGAACATACACTAAGGAGAGAAAGAACAGGCCATGATGTTCTACTTTTCCAAGATGTGTAATCACTGACCACTTTATGATGCCAACTGCCCAAAGAGTTCTACTATAAAACACACTAAACAATGCTGAGATTTTGAGCAATTCATGTAAACAGTCCATGGTCTTTCCCATACAGAGATAGACAAATAGATAGATAAATAGATGGATGGATGCTTGGCATACAACTAAACTTGTAGATGGACTTGAAGGGGATTCACTATGGTACTAACATAATGGGATAGAAAGAAGGAACTTCAAGGCACCAAAACAGCGTGGGAAGAGGTTTGAATCAATACTTCAGGCTTGAGCTTTTCTTGGGATCCTTGGTTTTCTAATTCTTCCAGACAGCATCAAACATACTTGATCATCAGTATCAGTTCGGTGTCTGCTGTATTCTCTATTAACAGATTGATTTTATGACTGGAAGCAAAGAGACTCTCTGATCTAGTAGGCTCTTTGCATGAAAATATTCTGATCACTTGTACAAGCACTGCTGCACCAGTAAAGGCAGAACCTGCTGCTGCTGCTGCTACAAGTCTTTGATCTGAGGCAAAGAGAGATCTCAGAAGGTGTCTGCCAGGAGGGAGGACTGCCTCAGGCAAGAAGACATTTGAGTAGTCACTGATGCTGCTCCCCATCAGTCACCAACGGAGGGGACAGTTGTGTCACATGCTCTGGATGGGTGAAATGATAGGATGCAAAAACAGGGGATTATAGCATGAACACTGACAGACCTTTAACCCCAATGGTGCCACTGTAAAAAAGTAAAACAGTAAAATAGGCTAAGCTCATTAGCCTCCTGGGCTAAAGAGAGTTTTATTGGGATGGGAAACGAGGAGACAGAATTGGTTTTTGTAAGCGTTACTATTTTCCACATGAGAAGCACACAGAAACAAGCAGTGGATTTGTTCCAGTAAGTCAGAATGGGGCTTAAAAGGGCAAACATGAAAGACAATGAATTCATGAATTCTTCCTTTATTCCAGTGAAAACATCACTGGATGAGTAGACGATACTCTGAAAGTGAAACTACTGCCTCCAAATCTGCCTCCACTGAATAAACTACAGGAAAAATGTCAAACCTTCCCCAATTTCAACAGAGAGGTGACACTGACATATTATCGATGATGGATTCACATCTGTGCTAAAAAAGCAAAGAGAGAAAGCTGGTTTACAACATCCCTTTTCTGGATTCATACCTTTCAAACTTAGACACGAAGAGAATACAGAAAAGCATCACAAGTGTAAGGCCACACTTACCGTCTGAAGCGCTGAAGTACTCGGGGTTCACAGAAGCATACAGCACTCCATTGCCCAGCCTGTCACTGTTCCTGTTGAAATATTTTTGTTTGGTTTTTACTCTTTAAACCTAAGTGCATTTCAAACCACCTCTTCTATAGCTTTTCCACCATTTGCTCCACCAGAGAGTATTATTTACTGTATGTGGAGAGCTTTTCAAAGGGGACAAACCAAGTTCTTATTCCATCTCACATAATCAATGGGAAAACAGCCCAGAATAGCTTTCCCAGGAAGCCTGCAGTCTTCTTTATACCAAGTCAGCACCAGAAAAACGTAAACACAAGGTACATTTAGCTGCTGGGTAAATTTCCTTTAAGAAAGGCAGCTGAATGGTGATACACCCAGGAGACCTGTGGCTGAGAACACACTTTACCATCATCTGCTCTGCTGTGGGAGAGAAGTGATCTAGCAAAGGACAAGATTGTTTTTAATGGGGAATTCCATTCAACTATTTCATAAACGTTTCTATTTTATTTTAAACACACACACACATTTTACTGGGTTGGTTTTCAGATTAAGACTCATTCAGCACTGTGAGAGCTCTTGCAGGAGGCAGGTTTTAGACAGAAAATTATTAGACTTAGAAAATCAAAGACAAAACATTCCTTGGGCTGTAACAACAGTTTAAAGAAGGACAAGTTAACAGGCATTTCACCTAGGAGAGCCCAAGGGAAAGCCAAGCAGGTACTGTACTTCACTGGCTACAAAGCCCTTTCTGGAGTGCTTGGGCAGAACTGGTCCTCCTGTCTGCAGGGCTACAAATGAATGAGAGCTGGAAATACTGGGATACTCAATAAGCATAATTTATATGAGTGTAGTAAAAAGCCTCCATACCTAGAAAGGTGCAAGGCTGAACGTTGGCACTGACTTGGTATTAATCTCACATCATATATTTCAATTAAATAATAATAATTAAAAAAATCACTAGTTACAAAGAACAAAACTGAGGAAAACAAATCAATGCAACAGTCCCTTGGACTGCTCTGTTCAGGATGTGATTTTTTAAGTGGATGTGAAGACTTTAAAAAGCCTCTAGAATTTGCATGACATTAAATTAACCCAAATGGAAACAAAGTTTTCATTATTTATATTGACCCATCTTTCAGTCAAGTCTTTTGATTATACAGGCTCAGTCTATCACTGCCCCAGTGGATACGCTCCTGACGAGCCTTCCTCTTCCCTCTCAAACATGATCCTGTAAAAAAAGCCTCTTGACATCTCAAGCAGCAGCCAGATACTTGCTGGTAACTCTAAACCACCTCCTTTTACACACCAACAAAACAGAATCTACTTCAGCTTCTCAAGTCCTCTGAATGCCTTTTCCCCTTATAATGTCTAACTTCATGGGCGTGGATTTGAAACGAAACATTTCCCTCCTGCACTTTTAACCACAAGCATATACAACTCACCTCTTCTTGTTAAAGACGTACAGCATTATCAGCAATCCCCCAATGATGAGCAGGAAAGCAATAGGGAGCACAATTATCAAGTGCAGGAAGTTCCCATAGTTTGCTGCTGCAACCAACAAGAAAACAATTGTATCAGGGTTTCTATAAAATCTCCATTAACAAAGAAACATTCAAAACCCACTCAGTGTATTTCCATACAGGGAAGAAATCAAAGTACTCATTTTCTTGTCTGATGTGGAAAAATGTACTCAGAAACACTGCCTGACTGCAGATGAGTGGAACAAGAAAACAGGCAGTGAAAAAGCATTAATTCTGTACAAGAACAGTGCCTGTCTGGGGTTTGTTTTCACAAGTTATGCTTAAGGACTTATAGTCCTCAGTGAACAATATGTAATTGTTCACTTGAATATTCAGTTTCTTTCCCCCTTTTGTTCACCTTGTTCACCTTGCAATTGCTTATATTTATATTCATAATATAGACACCCTGCACTTCAAGTTCTTCAAAATCCAGCATCTGCTCCATGACTAAATACAAAAGTTCTTGAGAGGGTCTCTGTGGACACTACAGTGGTGTTCTTCCAAAAATACAAATTACTGCCACTGTCAGGAGCAGCATCACTCTTTCATCAGGATGTTATCTTTATCAAATGTCACTTGTAATAGGTCACATATGAAAAAGCATCTTGATATTTAAGAAAATGTGCCAGCCAAAAATATAAACAAATTGTTTCCTGTATTATTCTGCAGTCTGAAGCAGGTTTCCCTTATTGCCACAGGTTTTGTACAATCCAACTCCATGTTGTTATGGCTACCATCACTTCCTTAACATAGTTGTGCATCACAGGAAGCTACAGCAGCCACCAAGCTGGTTGCACCTCTCATATACATAATACAATGAGTGTCAGAAAACAGACCACACCTCAGATGCACCTCCTGCTTGTCAACACTTGCCAAAAACATGGTACAGAGAAGAGTTCCCAAAGAAGCATCAGTGAAAAAGAGGAGTGTTCAGAGTACAGGCAAGAGGCTCACATGCCCAGTTACAGATGTAAACATATGTAATAATAGGTGTTATTAAAAAGACCATAGTCCCCCAGCTTGACACAGCCAACAAACATTCGTCTTACATTTGGGTTGCACATAGAAAGAGACTGGCTCAGTCCATGACCCATTTCCAGCTAATGAAGTGGCCTGGACTCTAGCAGAATAGTTTCCAGGGTTCAGGTGGGTTAGTTTAGCTCCTCCAAGCTTCTTGTATTCCTGCCTGGAAACACATTCCCGCTTCTCCTAAAAAGCAATTTACAGTTCATGTTAGTATCTCCACATTCCTCCATTCTTAAGAAAACAATGTAACTGCAAGATAAGCTAATTTTGGTAACTGAAAGCTCCATCTCATCAGTTTTTGTTCAAACACCTTAAGGAGATACATAGAATTCAAAGTTATCAAACAAACCAAGGGAATGAGATGCTGGTTGGTGCTGGGTGTTTGAAACTGCCATTCCTATCTGTGATCTGCAGCACTGCACAGAAGCATGTTAAGAAAGATCCCATTTTGTGTATAAATTACGAGTTACAAGCAGTAACTCTTGAAGAAGTGTCAAATCCTCACCTCTCCGTGCTGCCCGTATTTGATTTCATACATTAGTATCAGCCCATTGGGGTTTGCAGGCTCTAACCACTTCAGGTAGACGGTATTTTCCTCTTTTGCTTCCCATGCTACTGTTCCTGGAATGTTATCTGCTCCCTCTGTAAAATATTTACAAGTGATGTGAGAAGGAGACCTATTACTGAAACAGGAACTTAAGCAACAGTTGAGGAAAATGAAAAGTTCATAGAACTCTTTAGGTATCAAAGCATTGCAGTAAGAGCTATTCAGAGATCCAGAGAACAAAATGCATTGGTCAGGGAGACATTAGCAGAGTCTGAGCTGCTGGTTGCCAGAACACAGCACAATGGATACAGCTTCACCAGGAAAAGACTTTGCGTTAGTCACCGTGGTCTGTGTGCCCAAAAACCTGTTTATCAGCATCTGATTTCTCCTTCCAGACTTCCAAAGGACGTTTGCAGGTAGCTGTTCCCACAGGAACAGGAATATGAAGACTGTTTCAGTCAAAGGAAAAAAAGACCACTTATTCAACAATACAGTTGTTAGGTTTAGAAGAAGAAAACAGAATTGTTCAGCCTTTAATTTTCAGAGCCATGTGCAAAAAATCTGGGAACACTTATTTCCTTTTCCCTGATCTCACAGATTTCCTTATTTCCTTGAAATAAGCAATACTTTTTGCCTTTTTACTGACACAGCTGGATCTGGATTATGACAGTCTTTCTTTCAGAAACAAAACAAAATTGCTCTCATTCTGCATTAAATATTCTCAGACATCTGCTGGATTCAGAAGCTCTTTGCGGGATGCATATGAGCTTACACTAAAATCATCTCTATTCTTTTGAGAAGAAGTACAATCTGTAAAAGTCCCAAACACAAGTACAGAATTCAATGCTTCCCATTTGAAGTACTCTAGATGGGCACAAAGCAATACAGCGCTCCTCCTCTTTCTAGGCTGGACAAATGCATGGTCACTCTGTCACAGAAGAAACATTTGGCAAACATTCCCACCAGCAAAACTCTTTAACATCTGCAAACAGTTCAGAGTGAACACAGCAAAACCAAACATTAGCAGAGAAATGTTCCCCTGTCTTCAGTCAGCACACAAGGAGCTAAAGAATGAAACCTTTCAACCACCATGTCTGTGAGTCTCACCTAATCTGGGAAACAGATTCCCTCATAATTATCTCAGTAGTTGAGGCATGTACTTCTGCCTTTGTCTAGATCACAGGACAGGCTCGCTACACACAAGAGACCAGTCAAGGACATTCAACTACTCTAATAACTTTCACATGGAACCAATTTATTTTCTTGCCTAGAATTTTTTTATTATATCCCCATATTTTTCTACCTGGTTTTGGAGAGTTTGTCCCCCTTGAGGCTGATCTCTCCCCAGAAAATACAACAAAGCTGAGAGCATACCTGAAGGCATGGTTCTTGCAAAGACGAAGTTGGAAGCGCTACAACCAAGTGTGTCGGCTTCATGGTTGCAGCTGTGAATATCAATGCGGTAAAGAGTAAAAGGTTGGAGATGGGAGATGACAGTTCTCTCCTTGCCATCCACTTTGGTCTCAAAGAAGGGGTATTCCACCTCACTCTCCTCTGCGTCAGAAACATTGGTGAAGTGATCTGTCCCGGTCGCGTTCCTGTTCCGAGTGGCCAAAGTGGCATTTGCGATTCGGAACACATCCCTCCGCTTCCGATCGGGTCTGTGGAGTGAACAGGTTAAGAAAGGTCTCTTTAGAGAAAACTCACTTTTTCTCCAGCTCCAGGAAAACTGTGCAAAAACCTCCAGTAAAACAGTTAACTACTATTAAAAAAGCTAAACAAAGGAAACTGCGAAACAAGATGAAAGCTTTCTCTTAACCCAAACCTGCAGCATGTCAGCACAACCTCTTTCTGTTTTGGTCAGACACCAACCAGGCCTCTGAAGCTCACACTACATCTCAAGATAAACAGGCAAACTTCTGACCTCACACAATAAACTGAGTAGCAAAAATGGCTTCACTGTTACGCAGTAAGTGCCCTAGATTCGTATTTAGTGACAGTAATGTTGATGCTTAAAATAAAAATCAGATGTTAAAGGTTGAAAAGGTTAGGGAAAAAACTGTTTTGGAGTTTGCTGGATTAGCAAAGCCAACTCTCAGTAGGCTGAACTTTTGTTTCGGTTGCAAAGAAATTCAGATATCTGAATGTACTGCACTGAGAAAAGAAACCTAGAAGGAAGCTGAAGACCAGAGTGTTAACCACCATTCATGTGTGGTAATTTACGTGTCTATTTTTGTCACCCAAACAAAAGCTCTCCAAAGGAACAATCCTCTTGCGTTAGAAAGCACAGCACTAATACTGTGTACGGCAAAGAGCAACTTTGCTTTGCCTTACAGGCATCTGTAGGAAATCTGTGCAGTTACAAACCTGACCATCTACAGCAACACCACTAATTTCTCCAGTCTAAGAAGCTGTTGCAGTGGACAGGCCTGAGGACTGGTACAAGGGTCAACATGAAAATGCTCTTAAAAACACTTGGATGGTATTAGCATCCTAATGCATGATCGCCATAGGTTAGACCTGTCACTTGGCCTCGTGTCAGATCCCAGACTGTTTTGCAGAGGACCTCTAACTATATGGGGCAAGCTGCCTTTTCCAGCTCCTGCTATCCTAGTCTCTGAAGCTTGCAGGACTGCTCATGCCTGGACAGCAATGCACCAGGGGAGCTAAAGAACGTAGGAAGAGTCACACTACAAAACCAGTTTTGGCTTCAATCCTACCCCACCTGAATCTTGTAGCCAGTGCCCATTTAGTACCTGGCCAGCGCAACCATTATCAAGGACAAGGGTGAGGTCTAACACATTTCTACCAGAGAGCCAATTACAAACCCGGCACATAAGACCTCCCTCAAACGCACAACAGGAAGAAAGATGACTCAACAGGAGAATTCACTGTCAAATATACCATCTCAGTACTCTCAGCCACAGAACAGCATGCTGCAGAGGGAGCCAAAACCAGGCTGACTGGGTTTGAAATCTTCTGGCAGAGGTTGGATGAAATTTTAAGGGTGGTTTTTTTTTCTTTTCTTCTTTTTTAGGAGTTCACTACAACATTTTCCAAAATCCTTTTACTATGTCTCGAGTAGTCATTTTGACACTCTCCAGCACTATGTAAACCACAGCACAGAAATAAACCAAGACAAGGAAAAGACTTCCCAAGCTATCAAGAAATTCTTTTAAGCAACATACAAGCAACTGTCTTCATTTGTCAGTGAAGTATGGGGGGATTCCACAGGAGATGTAAGCACTCATGACTCCTCTGCACTGCAACTTACTGAAGTTACTAAACCTATTCACCTTGCTTAGGATGAGTGTTCATTTACTGCTTTAACTCAGTGGAAAGAACAAACTTTTGAACTGCTAAAAGCAGACAGGAGGCCTAGGACAGAAGTGATGAACATCTGCACAGATTTTGTGATAAAAGCAGTGAAAATGGAAAGTTCATTTTCAACCAACCACAAAAGCACATGTGCCAATGCAACAACCCAAAAGGCATGACTTGGTCCAGCACGGGGATTTGCAAGTTTTGACTCTTTGGTGGTATCTGGGGGGATGTACAGACCAACTTTGCCTTTGGGGAAAAAAGAGAAAGCAACACAAAATTTGCTGGTGAAAGTAGTGTCATATGAGGAGGAGAAAAAGATCTGCAGGATAACCACAAGGCAAACATGATTAAAACATCAAGAATTTTGACACCACTGCTTTGTGGTCAAGCAGCTTCCTGCTTTTGTGAAAGGCACAGATAAAGACAAAAATCCTCATTCAAGGAAATAAGGACAAGTCCAGAGATAAAAACATGAAAATTCATCTATTCTGTTAAAGGAGAGGAAGGAAGAGAAATACAAGAGAAAAATCAAAAATACCACTATAAAAAATTTAAACAAGAAATTAAGAAGAGGAAGAAAAAAATGAGGGTCATTTAACATAAAAGCTAACTGCTTTCATACGTGATGGCAATTTTAATGTTACTTCTCAGACAGCTTCTACTACATACAGAGCCCACCTCATCCTGCCCATTGGGGAACCAAAAACCTTGGAAGTATCACTCATCCTCCTGTGGTTTTGTCTCTTCAAGACTAAGCGGAGTCCTAATGCTTGAAATCTACCTTGTCGCTGCAGTAACACAAATGGGGTCATCCAGAAGTTGCAGACAAGATTTGATCAACAAGCTTAAAACCAGCCAGTCAAATATTCTCACACTGTATTACATGCTGGATCTCTTCCATAATATCCTGGAGACAGGTAGGACACTGGAAACAAATACTACTATTGAGACTTACATTAACACATTAATTAATTTCCTCTTTGGGAAAGGTGAAAAAAATCGACATCAAGTAAAAAGCTGCTTAGATTTGTCCCATGGAGACGTCTCACTAGCTCATAATCTTTAATTTCCCTGACATACAGTCTCTTTAAAGTTGCTTAGCTATGCAGCTATTTGAGTGTTGTACTTTACCTGCCCTTGCTGTTACAAAACACACCCTTATGGCAGCAAGATAAATAAAAAAATAAAGGGAAACAGACAAGCTTTCAGGAAATTCTTTGGTTACTGAGTTCAAGGTTCTGCAAGTTTCCTTTACGAAGAGGGGAATGCAAGAAAATCTGGGAGAAGATAACACATTTTAAATCCTAGAATGGTTTGTGTTGGAAGGAACCTTAAAGCTCATCCAGTCCCAACCCCTTGCCACAGGCAGGGACACCTTCCACTAGAGCAGGTTGCTCCAAGCCCCTGTGTCCAACCTGGCCTTGAACACTGCCAGGGATGGGGCAGCCACAGCTTCTCTGGGCACCCTGTGCCAGCGCCTCAGCACCCTCACAGGGAAGAACATCTTCCATATATGACAAAGCTTTGGTGAAATAAAAAGATTCCTCTGCAACAGACTCTCAAGTAGTTCAGACCTGACACCTGCCTTTCAAAACTCTCTGTTGTGCTATTTCATAAAGCCCAAAATCAGATCACATTTCCAAGACGTGACATGGTTCAGGAATTACAACCTGACCATCACAGTGGCTGTTACTTCTCTTTGCTGCTGGTTCTCATCATCAGTAGGGAAACACTGTGCAAGTTCAACCACAAATGCTAAATGCAACTCAAGCATAGCTCAGATACAATACTTAGCACTTCTAAAGAGAGGTTGTATTTAGTTCCTCATTTTTTGGATAAAGCTATAAAGCTCTGCGCTTATCCCAGTCCCAACACCAAACAAGTCAATCCAACACACCCATGAATAAACGTCCAAAAAATCACAATCAAGAGTGACATAAACCAGTTTGAGTGAGCAACAACGTCACAGTTTGGAGTTCTCAAACACAGGAATCCACCATAAACTTGACCTGCCAACAGAGTCAATGAGATAACATGCATGATTGAAATCTGATTGCTTATAGACTGCAACGTAACAGCTATACACTGCATGCTAGGACCCAGAATCCAATTATCTGAAGTACAGACAGCTTATGTGAAGGATAAATTAGAAACTCAAGAATCAAAATCACCAATTAATTCTGTAGTATCTATTCTATGTTGCAGCATAAAATCGTTACTACTCCACTTAATGTGTAAGCGGTAGTGTTTATCATGGAAGAGTGGGCATATTTAATACTTCTCTGCAGCATGGATCCAAGAAACCAATATTCCCTTTGCAATTAGTGCAGTGAGAAAGGAAGATGAGTTTCAACACTATGAGGTGACGATGCCCTCAATCGCAAAGGCAAATCTTCAGATTGGGAACACAAGCACTTAAATGGCTATTTAGAGAAAGATCACATCGGAAACCCTTTGTCTGCAACATGTTGCTCATCTCTGAAACCCTTTTAGAGAAATAGCTCCTCAAGTGACTCTTGATTCTGAAAAGAACCCATCACTCAAGCCCTTGAACAATATAGGTAAGAACCCTTACTATTAGCTAAAATTGAGAGCGAAAGAGATGAAAATTAGCAAATAGGAGAAATTGCAAAGAAAAGCTGTGGACTGTCTCATATATAAGGGAATGTTCATGTGTTTCAGATTTTATCTGTGTATGCTTTCATGTCCAGGAGGCCTTAGCTCTAGGAAATATTAAAAAATGAAATTATTAGTTCAACTTGTAAAGAGGAAGTGTCCAAAAATCCATTACCTGGGGACAAAGATGGAGTTGTGAAGGAAGTTCTCAAAGACTTTGCGGTACTCTGCTTCCTCCTTCTCAGCTTGCTTTTCTGCCTCTGTCTTGGGACAAGCACAACAAGGTCCTTTTTCTCCCCCACAGCCCTCTGGCTTGGTGGGTTCAGTAGCTTCTTCTGTATCAATGGTCCCATCAGCATATCTTCGAATTGGGACTTTATCTTGAAAGAAAAGAACAGAAGCAGATTGTTTCTTTTCTCTCCCTATTATGAATACAGCAACAACCCATGTTTAGCCATTCCCTTCTAGCTGTGAAGCAGGGCATGGGCTCTAGCTCTTGCCAATCAAGTGCACTGGCAGGTAAGAGTCAGAGGCATTTCAACACAACCACATTTTGTTTTCTTACCTTTGGAGCAGTAATTGTGTCTGTAAAGGTAACTGTCCTGAGGTTGCTGCTGCCATCGTACGATGTAGTACGAGAGGTTGCCATTGGGAAGAGAGGGAGGATTCCATTTCACAATCAGCTGGGATGAGGAATTGGATGCTGAAATAACATCTAAGGGAATGGATGGCACTGGAGAGGAAAAAAAGAAAACGTGTTTAAATCTAGAGCATTCTACAATGTGTTCCAATGCAAGCTTTCAGAGCAAATCCCAATCCATTTCTATACTGCAGGAAAAAACACCATCCTATTTCAAAGAAAGTATTTCCTACTGCTGCCCCACTACAACAGTTACTAAGGGGGTTCAACTGCAACCACACACAGTTGTACTTAAATCTAACCTTCAAAGGAAAGAAGTCTGAAATCCTAACTCCACAAATATCCTGGAGTTATATCCTGGAGTTCCCAATGAAAGAACTGTCTGAACAACCACAAAGTTTTAATTTAAATGCTTTCAAAATTACTGAAAACTTTCTATCTTTATACATGTTACCTGCACATAAATTCAATCTCTGTACTAACAACAGAACTTGCATAATAATTCTGTTGTTATAATGAGCATACCTGCAGCATTATCAACCTCTTACCCAAGAGTCCAGGATCTCACCTGCAGCATTGGTTCGGATATATACAATTTCACTTTTTGCTCCATGAATATGATGATTTTCCATCATTGTGAGGGTAACAGCCTTGACATAAATGGCATATTGAGTCCAAGGTTTCAGTCCCTGCAGTAGAATTCCAGGATTGTTCTCTTTGTTTGGTGGCAGGTCAACATCAACCATGTTCCAGCTATTGGAGCCACACGCATCTTGTCCATCGTACTCTGTCACATTTTTGAATGGTCTGAAATATTAAAAGAAAAAAGAGTACATAGTGTTTATTTTCTCCTAAAAATTGTCATATATTTATGAGAGTGCCTCACTTCAATGTTGCCCAATGAAGCAAATAAAGATTACTTGTTTTCCATAGCAGAATAGAACACAATAAAATTTGTATCTATTACCAAGCGGTACAAAATTCAGAGTTCAGCTTTAGCTGCAGGTCTTATCTTCAGTTACTAGCAATAAGGCGAAGTTCTCCAAGAAAACACTAAATTTACCTGTTTTCATCCAAAACAGACAGTGAAATACTTCAGGCATTTAGACTTTAGCTAAGCACATATGAAACAGAAGCATCTCAAACTAGTTATTGATAGTGACTGAGCGTCTTACCATAAAGAACTCAAACTTCCATGACTGGCCTTGACCAGTCCAACAGGCTTTTCTGCCCCTTTAATTTCCACACAATACAAACACACTTACATACTTCTATTTTTCCTAAGTTGCCACAATGGTGCAAGAGTATATGAAGTGCCATTCTTGTTATTAATTACTACAGGCTCATCAAGCACTAAGTTTATTGCATCATAGTACACTGCCACAGAATTCTTTTTCAAGTGATGCTGGACTTGAACAACTTGTGCTTCTGTTTCTTGCAGTCTTGCTCCCTATGTCACCACCAGCATTCTGAACCTCCTTTTCACACCTCCAAACTGCTTTGGGAGTTCTTGGTGTACTGATTTGTATTTTTCGCTGTCTTAAAGCTGAGACACTGCAAAGATATGCAGAGGCAGGGACACCTCCCAAAAAATTAGGATCTTTCTACAAACTGTCCCACTGCTTCATTATCAAGAGATACCAATGCAGACAACTACAAAAGGCAAGACCCCTGAGAACTGTCAAACCATCCACCTCATTTTTCATTTGTCTCAAACTTGAAACTTTCTGATGGATTTGGAATCCATTTGTATGTTTCCATCAAAACAATCCTCTTCCTAAAGAGGGCTTGTGCTCCACCAAGAAAGACTCGGAGCAAAAGCAGACCTCGAGGATGAAATATGTAAACTGGATGAGGTATCCACCAGTCAGAATGGGAACTGTCTACTATCTCTTGGTCATGATTTGTCTTGGACAACATCTACTTACGCTTCCTTGTAGTAAACAGTGAAGCTAATGAGATCTCTATAATCTGGAGGGCGATACCGTTCCCATGTCAGTTTAATCCGATTCTTGAGTGTAGTGTTGGAAACAAAACGCAGAATGTGGCTTTCACCTGCAGCATAAAAGGACAGTACATAACAGAATTAGCATAACATCACCTACTAGTTTTTGCTCTCTCTCAGGTATCACTTGTAGCTAATTAGCCTTTCCAGCAGCACCTATGATACCACAGTATGCTAACAGCCTTTGTCTCTGTAGAGCTTCATATTTCATCCTACTACATTTGATGCTTAAGGGTAAGCAGCGACCTTGGCAATCATTTTAGAACATGCTGGAGCTACTCATTATTTTGTTTTCTGAAGCAAATTTTCTTCTAATGCATCATCAGAAAGCTCTTGAAAACTACTTCAGACTCTCCCTGAGCAAGGAATAAAGTCCTGTTTATTCACAAGACTGGTTTAGAAGCACTAAATTTATCATCCAACTCCACTGCACACACGGAGCAGTAACTGGCCTCCAAGCTCTCACTTTCCAGGACAACTTTTGACAACTACAACTTCTTTGTCTGAGGAATGGACAACATGGAAAGGACGAAGTTTACATTCCCAGTCATAAGAGGCTGGACCAAGAACTCCAAAACTCAGCTCATCTACGGCACAACCATTTGATGGCAGCAGCTTCCAGCTACTCTTCTGAACAGAGCTGGATGGAAGTTGGCAGCTTTGAAATGAATGGCTTCCCACTCTCAACTCACTGAGCTCTCCAATCCAGAACAAAATAGCATTTTAAAAACTTAATTCTTGGATGAAGAAATTGTGTTCCAAGAGTCAACTGTGAGTTAGTTTCTAACGTTCCATAGAAGCCTGTGAAAATAAAGGGGTTTTCACCCTCATGTACACTGGCACTATTGGTGCTATCTTTTCAAAGGCAGTTTAGCTTTTGTTGATTCTTTTCCTCTTCTGAGAGTCAGAAAGCTTTCTGTAATGGTTTGTTTTAAAGAACAGGCAGCGGCTGGCACTAGCCTCAGCAGTAGTAAGGCCTGGCTGTGTGGCTGTAACTCCTCCAGGACTGCAAGCCTTTGCTCTATTCAGTGTGCAAAGAATGGAGTGTGCTTACAACAAGGATCTATGCCATCTGCATTTATGCATCATGCCTAAAGAGACATTCAGCAGAGTACGTGTCCTAGTTTTGTAAACACCATCCAGAACAAGGGGACTTGACTTATCCACAAGATCTATCTTAATTTACTCAGCTCCAAGAACACCAGAAACAGACCAGAGAAAAAGGCACTGCTGGGTCTAAGAGTTTGAGTATGAGGTCAAATTTGTAGTTGTAACTCCTAGATAAGAGTTTGCTTTTGACCGTGTTGGTTATACCTGGAGACCTGATGTGCAGATTACCAAAGCCAAAAGACAACTCTCCAACAAATATGGCCATTGCAGAATCCAAAATGAAATGCAGAGACTGAAGTTTAGGAACAGTGCGTAACTCTAAGAAGTGTTCCCAATTCAAAAGCAAATAGTTTGAAACTAAAGCACAAAAAACTGAGTTTACAACAAGCATTTCTAGCAACAAGGTACAATAATCAAGCAGGAGCTGAAAAGAAGCTTGAACACAGCAGTTTTAGCGTCTGTGGAACTGTTATCCAGCAGCTTCCTTAGCATTAAGTGGATATCAGAGAGGAAAATACCTATGATGATGTACATTAGCAAAGGAAACTGGGAAGCTATTCCTTATTGGATATACCGAAACACTGCATTTTATGTCTCATTTCCCAGGTATGTTCCCATTGTTATATGATGCTGCTGTCACAAAAAGAGGGTATTTGAAAAGCAGTCGTCTTCTTCAAATGGTTTTTACAGATGAGGTAGTGACTGTGTAACCACATAATTTTCCACACGTGTGAACATATTTTCACAGCTACATTTTATAACTGAACAAGTCAAATGACTGAAAGCCTACTGTAAACTTCACAACTCTAGGTACTGTCATGGACAGCAATGTGGCAGTGGGATGAGGGCTTGGTTTGCCTTGAGATTTGTTTTTTTACTTACAAGAGGCTCTCTCCCCATTGTTCCTTGGATTTATATCTCCTTTGCTCTGTCGCCCCTTGGTTCCTGAAACTTCCTCCATACGGTAAATCTCAGAAACACAGAGTTTAGGGTTAAATGCAAAGTACATCTTCCCCTCCTTGATCGTCAAGTTATGATGGTTCCAGTCCCACAGCTGCTGAAGATTGTGGTTGTCAAGCACGTAGAAGGAATAATTCCTAGAAGGTTATTTTTAAAGGAAAAATAGTAGTTTTAATTCATAGCCAATTCCAATGCAGAATACCTTAATATAAGAGAACTTGTAAACACTGCATTTCCTATTATTATTTTAAACAGGCCTTCAGCAGATTAAAAGATTTTCTTCTCTCCCATGAGGCAAGTTTTCCCTAATACGCACTTTGGTCAGAGAGCAGGGAAATGACTGTAACACAGAACTCCAAGGCTGACATCACATCATGTAAAGCCCACTCCAACATGTGTTTTAATAATCATATAGAAGCTGCTATGAGGAATTGAATCTATGTCCTCTGAACAGCAGGTCTCTACACTGGATTTTCCATTTTGTGGCAAATAGGAAGCAATAACCTTATATACCTTATGGGAGGAAAAGCATGGTGTGGTTCTGACAATAAAACACAATCGTGATCACGGCTGTCTTGCTTGTGTTTACAAAAGCAACTGTAAGAGTTTGCACAGCAAGGTTTCCTGCCCTCTCTGCCTTAGTTCACCTCTTGGCCCACTAAAGATTTCCTACACTGTGAAGTACAGTTGCATCTATACATCAAAACCTGACAGTGAAGAGTTGCACTGACTGCACAGCACAGGATCCACGCTTCAAAGTACAGGACAAACAACCCAGGCAGCAGCATGTGTTGAGCCCACTCCCTAAGCACAGCAGTGGAATAACATGAACATCCTTTATTTCCACAGATACTAAACACAAAGTTGAGTGTGTAAATCTTATTATATATTGAGAAGAAAGTCCTGGTACTACTCAATTGTGCTGAATGGGGGGAAAAAACCCCAACCAACAAATCAAGTGCAGCAGAAGCAACATTACAGGCAGCAAGACACCACCTGCAAAGACACTTAGATTTTGGAATAGTAGGAACAGGAACACACAATTGGAAAATGACTTAGCTGATGAACCTAAACCAAACCAACCCATCATGGCAGCATTTATGATACTTCTATGAAAAGCCCCACCAGCATTAACTACGTAAACTCAGTTAGGAACACAACAGAGCCTTGCAACCTCTGCAAGCCATTTTGCATTGGTGAGCCCATGTCAACGCAGTTCAACTGGGCTTTTTACAAATCCTTTTAACTACAGGTAGTTTCTGCAGGGTAAACATGGCAGACAAACCATGAAGCTGACATACTACTCATTTACGGTTTTCCTCCAACCAATACATTTAAAATCTAGCATTAATTCCTCCCTCACCCAACCTGAAGTGGAAACTGCATTCTGGTTGCACAGACCACTGTTGCAGTTTCTTGTAACATACCAAAATGCTGAGTGTTATTTGCAGAACAATGTGGAAAAGAAGTAGTTTCTCCTATTTCTAACTGTCCCCTCATTGCCCAGGAATTGAATGATGATGAAGTCAATATACTGGTATCACTTCAGACAGATGCTGAGAATCATAGAATAGTTAGGGTTGGAATGTGCTTAGGTGACAAGGCAGCACATACAGGATTATGCTTTAAATGCATCTTGCCAGGAGAGAACAAGGATGCTAAACTGCAAGAGGGATTTGACAGACATCACCAAAAAAAATAGTGTTTATCTGAGACAACCATTAGTCTGTTACAGATGACTAAAATCCCTGCAGCTCCCTGTGCACTGCTGAAAAAGGTGACACCTCACCATAATTAGCTGTGTGATTAAGTGATGGCAACTAAACTGCTCAGGAAAGACCCAAAAAGCTGGACTGAACCTGAATACCACAAAAGCAGAGGTGTGGCTCTACAGAAACCACCTTAAATATCTAATAACAGCCTAGCCTGTCTCCTGCTCACAACTGTGGCAATTATGCTGCAGACACTAGAGATAGTTCTTGTACCAAAGCAACGTTGCTGAGCTTTTAAGAGTGTGAATAAATGAGGCAAATCAAACACATGCTGGTGCTTTACACAACTGCACAGTGACTGGGCCACAGTTGGGAGGTACTGTGGCCCATACCTTAAAGCCATCTGCACAAGTTTGAGCAGCCATCTGAGGCAAGGTAAACAGGTCCTAAGGATTCAGATATACACTGGAAGTATAAATTAGTGGAAGTTATTCTAGCACCATTCAAAACACCAGCAAAATCACATTTGGAGGGCTATATACAGGCCCGGTCATAGGAGAGGTGCAGGATTGCATGGCTTGAGAGGTGGAGCAGAGGGCAACCAGAGTGCACTTAGGGCTTAGGCTATAAATAAAGTTATAAATAAAGATTATATCAGACTTTGGCTCTAACAGCTGTGGAAAAACTCAGGATGCCAAGGAAGATAGCATGGAAAGAATAAAAGATTCACTGTAGGAAAACAAAGCACTGCCAATCAAGCCCTGGAGACAGTAACTAAGGGAATGGCTGGAGATTATGGCCTGAAGGACAGGCTAAACCTTTGAGTAGGAGTAGGAGGCACATCTGGTCCCAAGCTTGCCATAAAAAGCCTCAAGGCGACCTGCACAAGCCATGTACACCCACAGGAGAGAATTCCCACAACATGATGTGTATCCCCAACTGCAGAGCACCCACGGCCACTTAGTTACTGACTGCATACATTCAAAGCCTGCTTCACGCTGTATCTGCACGCAACACTCCCTGTAAACACATTCACCCCCTGTAAAGCTAGGAGGCAGAACATGAGATCCAAACCAAAAGGAGGTGTGGGTGATGAAAGCATTTCAACAAGCTTTCAGTCCCCCTACACCTCCCCTCCATAGCGTACAGGATGCAAAAAGCTCCTGGAAGGGGTAATGGCCAGATAAGTACACTTAATAAGAGAGCAATGAGTGATCCATACAGACAAGTGACTTGCACCAAATAGGGAATGAGAACTGGCAGAGGGCTGTGAATGAGCTGGCTACAGGAAGATGACAAGCAGCAGAGGTTTATGGCAGACCAACTACCCCGGGACATGACAAGCAACCCTGCAGGACATACAGAACAGAAGGAACAGAAGGCATTCATCTCCCAGTGCTACAATGATGAGGAAGACAAGAAAATCACACTAAAACTAAATCCTTCAGTACAGCACATCTCCATTCCAGTTTCGTGTTTGCAAAGAGATTTCTTTCCTTGCCATGGGAGCACATTCACTACAGACAGAGTGTTCAAAACAGGCAATGAATACTCCGAACACAAAGTAAATTCCCTCTAAACTTTCCATTTTCTGTGATAACCAAGGCAGGCACCAGCAAATGAATAAGGAAGAAATAAACACTGCAGTCCTGTTTTGTTAGTCCAGTTCAATGTAAAAAAGAGACGGTGGTGGTGGAGTCAGTTATGTAATGAACAACTACCACAAGGGATCCTAAATTAATCTCCCTCTTGCCCTCAGGGCAATGCTGGCATAAACAGCCATTGTTCCAGGAGCCCAGGACTTCCCAGGTTAAGACCCCCTCCCTGCTGTTCATAACTCTGCCAAAGTAATTGTTCAAGCTCAGTCTCTCCTTGCCAGGTGCCTATTTCCACCTAAATATTTCTGGAAAGGTTATTTAGGCTGTGGTAATGCCTAAATTATGCTGGGTGTGTTCCAAGCAAGGAGAGTGCCCCTGACCCGAAGTATGTAACTGCAGTAATTTCCTAACAAGGGTGAATTTTAGCACAAGTAGTTCTTTATTATAGATCTATTTTACCTCCTCCACTCAGCCGTGTTTTCCTCTTCAAAGCTGCACCTATTTACTTCTCTATTTGGGAGTCTGATTTAAAAACCTGCCATTTCCCTTCATATCGACTCTGCTTGCTGACACACAAGGTACCATAAACGTAATTGCTACTTGAAGCACAAAGCTAAACTCAAATTTAAAGAGAGCAAGGGAGAGAGGGAGAGAAGAAAAGACAAATCGATGATTGGAGTATCTGTAAGAGCAGGTCACATCCTAAGTGGGCTGAATGAGCCTTGTGCTCGAGACAGTGACAAGCCTCCATGATTTGCAATTAGAAACAAGCTTTTCTGCAGAGCCAGTGCTCTTCCTGAGAAAGACACCGTGCTTCTCCAGGGCAGGATGAAGAGCTGCCCTTTAACTGGCTCTGTCAGATGGTGGAATGTTAAGAATTTCAGGCTGACCAAACACTAGCCAGAGAGAAAGAGGGAGGCTGTGAAGAATCCCTCATGCTGTAACTTTATCCTGCCAGGGCAGACGAATCAGACACAAGCAACCTTTCCCATGACCCTCCCACCACCTTTTCTTGTATGAGTTCCTGAAGTTCTTCATTTAATAGTTCTGTCATTACTGAGGAAGACTTATTTATCTGAGAGCACCCTAGTTAAAACTTGGGATGGCTACTTGATTAAGGAAGAGAAAGAGAAAGGCAGTTTGCTGAAGGACCATCACCAGACCTCAGCACAGAGAGTAAAACTCTTGTCTTGACTCAAGGCCAGGTTGGATGGGGCTTAGAGCAATCTGCTCCAGTGGAAGGTGTCCCTGCGCATGGCAGGGGTTTGGAACTGGATGAACTTTCAGGTCCCTTCCCACCCAAACCACTCCACGATTCTATGACCATCTCTTGCCATTATAGGAAAACAGGAGTTATATACATGAGAATGTATCACAATTATAGAAGCAATATAATGCAAAGGAAACATTTCAAGGGATCACCTTTACTTTTCCTGACCAGTCTTTTTCCTGCTCAACAGGCAATTCATTTAATGTCAGCATTTCAAGGAGTTGCAAACAATTGCAACTTGCAACCTATTTCATACTACTTGGATCACTTCCAGTTGCACTCCCTGGTCAGTAAAGTTCAGGTTTCCCTTCATCCAACATCCTCCATAAAACTCTGCTAAAAGCCAACAGTAAGGAAATCCAATTGTTTGTACAAATTAAGACAATTTATCAATGTAAAGAACCTCCCTAGAAAATCTCAAGTGAAAAGCAACAGCAAAGTTACCATAAAAATACTCTTAATATATTCAGTTTAATATGCTGATTTGGGTAGCAATGCAAATGAGCAATGACTGTGCAGTGGTGTTCATTAGGAGAGAAACGCTGCATATGAGTGGAAGAGAAGATTCTATAAAGGGCACGTGAATGTTTATCAGGAGATTTATTCTCTGTGGCTTTCTATTAACACGAAGTTGCATCTACAAGTATCTGAACACTTACCCATCCACTTGTTCCTCTCCCAGAATATACCGCAGGTTCTTCAGGAAAGACAGGGAGACCAACGCATGGGAATGACGAATCTTTACGTACCCTGTTACTGTCTCAATCAGACCCATAAAATTCTCCAGTTCTGAGGCGATGTTATCTACAGTAAGAAAAATGTCATTTTATTGTTGCAGAATTCAGAGCTGTAACTGCTCTTCTGCTTAATGCAGTATCAGCTCTGTGAAAGAAAATATTTGTATTTGTTGTCTTTGAAAATGAGAGACACTGGTATTCCTTCCCCAGTAGCTGCTGCCTGTGCAGACAGATGGCTGAAGGGCAAAATCAAGCCACAGAGCAACAGTGAAAAACCAGTCTTGCTTTTCCACACTGGTATAGCTGCTTTTTGCATGGACATCGCACTCTGAAGCCAGCACCAAATGTTGAGCCAGCATTCTAGCAGGGATGAAAAGACCCCTGTACACATCATGAGGCTGGAATCACTCTTTAGCTACGGAGCAAAGCTCAGGCAGAAAGCTCCATTAGAAAACAGAGGCTGAAGATGAAAGGCTGGAGATACGCTATTGGTCTTCTCTGGGGCAGAAAGCATTGCTTTCAGTGACCTAAAAAGCTCTGGCTACAAGAAACCAAAAACTCTTGATGATACAGCAAAGATAAAACCATAAGGATATCCTTGTGCCATGCATGGAGCATGCTCCATGTAACTCACTAAAGGTCGTCTTCTCTAATAAATTATTAGAATGAGCACATGGCAAGCTCTGCACTTCAGTACTGCCTTCTCCCTAGGAACTATACTGTCCCTGCCTAGGTCTGCAACACCCTACCCCTCACAAGGCTCAAGCTTTGCAGTCCTTACCTCTAGCAGCCCTTGGCCCATGCCCACTGCCTGGTGTCATCGTGCTGCAAAGTTACACTGCAGTTGCTAGAGGAAGCTTTAAGCACTCAGGGTGGAAGAAGCTGCTATGGGGTGTGTTTGCTGCCATAAGCAAACCAAAGTCCTAACAAGATACCTGGGAAGTCCAATTACCAAATACCAACGGTTGGTTCCCATACCAAATAAGATGGGAGGAAGCCAATGCTCTTCAGTGCTCTAAAATAATACTTAAAAAAAATAATAAACCCCCACGTTTACCCCAGGGCAACTGGAACATCTCCCATAAAGGAAGATTGTACCTGTAGCAGTAGCACCATGAGTGAAATAATCCTTATGCTGCTGTTTCTAAACCCTGAAGTTTTTATTCAGACAGGGAGAAAGGAATCAAACATATCTCAATTCACCCTTATTCATGAAACCGAAAAGGACCTTCCATAGAGAGATACATTTCCAATAAAAACTAACAGGGATTTTTACTCTGCTTTTAAGAGCTCATCAGCTGTCAACACTTCCCTGGCTGATGAATCACTGCTCTGACAAATTTAATCCAGAGCTTGTTCAAGACATGCAACAAAGGTGGCCAGCTCACTAATGATGACCATCTAGAGGCACAGTGCAAGGCTTTATATGAGCTCCCAGCACCCTGGATTCCATGTTTTAGCAAGACACCACACCTTACCTTCAGAAGGGAGGATATGGCAGTCTTACAGTGCCATGCCTTAGTAGCAGACAAGTTATTTACCTACCCAGATGCAAGGACTTTCAACTTTTCCACCTTCTTGCGCCTTTATTATTCCTTTGGGACTACTGCTCATCTCACTGCCTAATCCTGGTTCCCTATCCTGCCAAAAAAGCTAACGAAAATAGCAACTTTAACTCGGTAGCTGAATCCCTGTTCCATCCACATGTTGGAGAATGGTGCTACCGTTGGCCAAATCAAACAGGAGCACTGCTATGGGGCTGGAAAGCAAACAGTTTGCTGAGTTTTTAATATTCTTTCTTATCATTATGCTGACAGACAAAAGGGAAGATATGAAAAGCAGCCATATCAGAGGTTCATAAAGAGAGGGGCGACACTTACTTCCACGACGGATGTTGATCAGCAGATTTCCCTTGAGAATCGTGCATCCCTGCAACATTTGTGCCGATGTGACAGAGTCAATGGTCTTTGTTTTTCCGTCCTCACAGATCTTGGGGCAAGGCCCCTCACAAGGACTGCAGAACATGCTGTTAGGAAAGAAAAGGAGACTGAAAATGAGCAACAGTAAGTACATAACTCTGAGTCTGGGGCTGCTCCGAGTTAAATTCTGAAAGACCTTTGCCTCTAAAGCTTCAAGAATGAAAGTTACCACACTTCTGCAGAGGGTGCAGTAACTTAGCACACTTGCCCACTAGACTCCAGAGAGGCTGCAACATCATCCCTCCCGTTTACAGCAACACAGGAGTGAATGACTAGACCCATAACCACTGCCTGGCAGCTTCTGAAAGGCTTTGTGGTCCGTCCAAAGTTGAAGGCATTTCAGGTAAAACCCAGTGCTCTTGCATTTGTGCATTTACTCTAACTTAGTGAGAAGGATGGTCTTTCTGGGTGTAATTGATGCAGACAGCCTCAGAGTGCTGTGAAGTCTGATGATCCAGGCCCAACCTCCACAAACAGGACAGCCAGGAGCCGGAGATGGGAAAATACTGTTCAAGTTCTTGTAAAGTTGTCTGTCTCCATGCCCTTAAGCCAACATCTGAAGTTCAGCACTAGGGAATTCCACGATCCTAGCTATTTTAACTCAGAAAAGACAACTGTGGGAGCACACAGTCATCAGTGATGTGGAGAAAGCGAGCAGTGATTTAGTCACTATTTCTTATAGTTTAAGATGTATTAAAGCAGCAAGTCTAAACAAACAGAATGATGTATCCTGATGCAAGGCAAAACTAATTTGCAACAGGAACTGGAGAGATGGGCCAGAAGTCCAAGCAGGTTCAAAAGGGATTATACAGATGGAAAGAGAACAGGCCCACCAGTAACTATAAAAGAAGACAGACACAGCCCAAACTTCCTTGGAGGAAACAGCGAAGCACAGGCTCACTGCTCCTGCTGCTTATACTCACAAGCATTCATAAGCATTTTTTAGTGGCCAAACTCAAGGAACAAGAACTTGGGCCAGCCCAGCCTTTGGCTACAGCAGCTTTTTCAAGGGTCCATGTTATACTGTTTGCATCCTCATCTCAAAACTGGACACTTCATGTATGCATGAAACATGCCCTTGACCACTGCTCCTGGTAAATGTCTTCATCAATCTAAGGTCATCTTTAGTTTTCAATTTCTTCTAGAACTTTCCTTCTTACTTCATTATTACTTACTCCACCTGACTACTTTAGAGGGGAAAAACAACAAAGAAAAAGCCAAACCCAGCTCCACAGGCAAAGGCTTCTGACAACAACACTAATGAACATGGACTTACTATTTATTCTTTTTAAATGAACATTCTACTGAGGCTTAAAGACACATGTAAATTGATAACAGCACTTTTTCATGCATAAACAATAAAAGGAAGAAGCTTCCTTTTCTTAGTAGTAAGCTCCTATTTCAAAATCCTGCACTGTAACATGCCACAAACCGCTAAAAGCTGTAGACACAAGCAAGAGGCATTCAACAAAACATACAAAGAATGCTGGAAATGCTCTCCATTTGCAACTATTTGTTAATACCACCTCTGGGGAACAAAACATTCACTAGCCTTGAATTACAGCTCCTTTCAATCCTTGCAGCAGAGCACAACACTGAGATAAGATAGCACGGCCATGCACTTTAGTGTAAGTGGTTCAAACAGCTGGTACTACAAGCTGAAGGAGATAACAAAAGAAACATTTCTCAGGTGAGTACTTGGCTGGAGCAAAGGCAGTGTTAAGTTGCTTACATCCAAATGACAACTGGAGACTGCCTTATGATGCGATCGAAAGGACAGATGACACGCATGCATGCACAAACTAACAACTAATGCAGGCATCATCACAACCACCCTTCCAGAAAACCCAACATCTTAGAAGTGTCTACAAAGACTTTCTTTAGCATAGTACTGGAGCACTATGAATGTTATCCTTTACTGCAAGTCCATAACTTCCAAGGGTCAGTAGGCATCTAAAGCTGCTTGCTTAAACTACTGGCAAAATAAGATGATCATAAGCACATATCACTCCAACTGTCAGAATTAAATATGAGCAGGTGAGTGACATTCTTGCAAGAAATTATTCTGTATAATATTGTCAGCTGATGCATTACTATCTTGTTGTTATCTTATTGACATTGTTATCTTCTGGAAACAGTGAGAAAAGGGAAATAAAATGAAATACACTGAAGAATACAAATACGCAAGCACACATAAAGCAAACAATACGCAAAACATGGTAACTCCTATGGTTTGTTCTGTGTGATAATGGTCATCAGCCAAACTCCAACCTTGTGCTCCTGGCTTTTCACTTTCATTGTGTACAGTCTCCTTGAAGACCTTGTTCTGCATTGTACTGGTACAATGCCCTCCTCAAGTCCTTCAGAAGAACCAGTGGGAACTGACATACACACGTCCACACACAGAACTTTCAGTGGTGTGTTTATCTAAGCAAGCCCTTACCAGGAAGTCAGGCAATTCCCCATAGAATGTTCTAATTTCTACCCAATGTCATTTGCATCACAAGCTGCCACAGAATAGTGGGTGGAAAAACCTAAACATGACAAGTCTGATGGACTTCCCAGAAGGTGCATTACCTTTGGCTCCCATTGCGTATGAATCCGGAGGGACACTCTGCCATGCACTCATCATTGTGAATCACAAACCTCTCGTATTCACTTGTTTCGGTGGCAGGGACTTTGGAGCAGAACTCTTTGGTCACGCAGCGCCAGCCCTCGAACTTGTAGGTGTTGGGAGGGCAGGTGGGCATGCAGACTCCCTCGTAGTAGTAGTTGCGGCAGGCCACGCACGCCGTGTTGTTGTCGGGTGCCGTGCAGCTCCCCAGGCACTCGGGGTGGCAACACTCGTTTTGGTCTGTACAGGCTCGCTTGCCACATGAGCTGGGGCACACTGCAAGACAGAGAGAGCAAGAGCTGTTAAATACAGTGAATGGCATTAAAGGAAAAACCCTGATCCATGCAAGTCTATGCTTTCATTCCCTGGGCTCCAGAGAATCTCTGCAGAAGAACCAACTCCTGTAAAACTGACAAATTAAAGTCTGGTTTTCTCAGTTTTAGTTGCCTGAAAATATCGTTTTCTCAGATCAAAGTTATATGAACCAATTAAATACTAAGGAAAACTGCTGGAAGCAAGATCAACATAAGGGTAATGGAAGCAGTCAAGTACTGGAACCTTTTCCACAGGCCTAGTATTATCATTACTTTTATTTTTTGAGTGCTTATTGTCTTTCTAAGCATTTTTTGTCTTTCCTGTTTGTACTTCAAATCGGTCTTCTACTGGCAAGAAATGAAACTTCCTTTAAACAACTTAATGACACTTGTACACTAAAGTACTGCTATACTGTAGCACAAATGGTGAGGTTGACCCCAATGTAGCATCCCAATGTCGCTTACGTATGCAGCATGAGGTTTAATAACGCACCAAATCATCATCCACATCAAACACTATGAAATCACAGAGCTACCATTTTCCTCTGAAGAAGGTAACAGAATTCTGCCTTATCCCCAAATTCTCGATTCAGAGAACAAAATATCAAGGGGATTAAAAAATGGGGTGCAAGTTTATGGAGACATTTAAGTGAAAGCACTGCAGCTTGGAAGACGCAAGCAAAGAGCAGAATGGTCAGCAGATGAGCTCACCACTGCTGCGTCAAAAGAAGTGGAAGCATTGTCTTTATGGAACACGAGCATTTTGATTTCAGCACTGTATGGCCTGTATGTTTTAGCCATGAGGGTTGTGTGCCAGGGGCTCTGTAAACACACACAGATAGGAAATATGGTTTGCATTAAGTAACTGCTTTCCACTTTCCAACTTAGCTTGAACACAGTACCATTAATAACAGCAATAACACAGAATTCCAGTAGTACAACTACAGTGAGATCCAAGCAAAGCACCACAAGACATTTTAACTGAGTGACTGAGCAGAACACACATAAGCAACAAAGAAGTTCATTTCCCAAAATGAACATGGAAGCAGCAGAGCCCAGCCTGTAGAGAGAGAAAATGTTAATGGAACTGTAACAGTTCCACAAACTGCTGCATTGCAGCTTATCTTTCAGATTGCAATTACAGTGTTCTAATGCAGGACTAAACACCCTAAAATCTCAACCACCTCCTTTTCATATAATGAGGTCTAAACTTCACAGGATGTTTTTATAATGCCATTAAGCAGAGCCTGTTCATAGCTCTGTATCAGGATGTAGACATCTTATGGCAACTTTTGATTATAAGAAGCCACCTTCTGTCAGCTTTAAGGTAGTGGCCATCTTGAAAAGGTCTCATAAAACTGCCAGAAAATTTTGAATTTCTTAGCAAAATGGTTCTATATTGATCTTGCTTAATTTTCTTCAGTACCCAACTTCAGCAGTTTAAGCATCTGGGTATGAAGACGGGTTCTCCTTATCCAATTAAGGCTAAGAAAGGTTTTGTGGAGGAAATTCCACCTGCAAGTACTCCCCGAGTAACCTGACAGCATCTCCCCTACATAAGCAGGTAGCTGTGAAATACCATCATCAGACCTGCTTACATCTGAGAAGGCTGTTACTTGTATATACATAGCCACGTACCACTAACACAACAAGCTCGCATTGCGGATAGCTTGGGTACACGTTCCTTGCCCATACTGCTGTTATAACTGCTATTCTAAGTGGTGTTACCACCGCTGCTCCACAGCTGTAGGCCCATTTATTCAGAGTGAAAGCAGGCAGAAAAGTGGGAGTGGAGGGGGGAAATTATGAGAACAAGGAGGTGAAAGCCTCAGGATGGCCAAAAGCTGCCCTGGGTAGCGCAAGTATCGCATACGGGCCAAATTAAGATGACTTCTACAGAGCCAGTTCCTTGTAAGACAACTGAGAGCAGGAATGCAGAGAAAATCACTGCTAAATGATGCATTGCATGAAGATGCTGGATTTCTTTTCCCTCTTGAAAAGGAAAAACCCATACACGCCAAACCCTCACATAAAAACTAACAAGCGTGCAGGTGTCTATTCTTTCTTTTGACACCAACTTGCTGTAAAAGGAGCAAAGTCTGCCCCAATGCCATCTTCAGTAAGGCATCACAAATTGCCTCTCACCTTCAGGTTTCCAGTACTTGCATTTGCCACTGCTAAGGGATTAAAAACTCAGTGTATCTTGCTAGCAGACGGACTGCTGTTCTGAGTGGGTGCCAGAACTCGGGTTTCATGTGGTAGCTACATTTCCAGTTCAAAGCCCTACTAAGAATAATAACACACACAGCCCCCCATGCCTCCATCAAGTTCATTACTAGATGTATCAATAAACTACACACATTTTTTGTTTTCGTCTAGCCAATTCACTAAAACCCAAATGCTGCTACATTAATTATTGAGATAAATACAGTAGAAAAAGATTGAGTTTATTTTGTTCTTGAGAAAGACTTTTGCATTCCCTTAATGCCTCTGCCATTCAGGAACAGCCTGCTGTACAAACAGGATTCCCTGCATCTCCTGGTAAATCTGCTGACTCTCGTCTAAGGAAATATAAATTGATGCACAGAAAGATACACAAGTTCACATGAAAAAGGCAACCAGGGAAACAGGTTCTCAAAACTACAGTAATATTTTAATCACAACCATTTTAACAAGAACTCTGAAAACTTTTTAAAGATAATTTTTTAAAAGCTCAGCAATCTCGCTTTTCCCTCAGTCCTATTTTTTCCTTGTTCTTGCTAACGTTGGCATAGTTTTCAGCCTGGAGACAATACGGGTATCCTGTTTCTCTGAAGAGACAGAACATGAAGTTTTGTGTGTGTAGGATATGTTTTGAACAATACAAAGCCTTATCTGCCTCACACGCCAGTTCCCTCAGATAGCCCTGTTATCAAAATCTTACTAAATTAAATCTTACTAACGTCTCACTTTACAATCCAGCCCCATCTATCCTCCCCCCTGCCCTCCCAAACTGTGCTACCAGATTTATACCAAATCTGTAGCAAGATTTGTACTGAACTATTTAAAATGCAAGCTCCAAAATACTATTGCCAAAAAAACCCCCTGAAATACGCTCAGTAACTTGCTGACTTCAGTCCAAAGAACATTGGAAAGACAAACATAAGCGAAGAGGGGGCTGACATTTGGGGACAGAATTTAGCAGCCAGGTACAACAGTGCATTGGATCTCGAAGGCTGGTGACCGTATTGGGACAGAAAGTCCCAACCCCCTGAACAAATCCCTGCTGACAAGCACAAGGGCAAAAAATGCTTCATTGTCATCACGTGGAGCTACCAAGATAATGGAAAATTTCAGAGACCTTGGAGGGCAGCCATGGAAGAAGGAAGTCAAAGCAAGACCTGGAGAAGGGCAGACCCTTCATGACTTTATCTGACAGAGGCTTGACTAGATCAGTGTCCATTTACACTGAGGGAGTGAAAGTACTGAATAATCACAGATCTTCAGAGACTGACATTACAAGAGTACCAATAGCCACAAATCAAATTCACTGGAGCAAAACCAACAACAGTACTTTCTTTGACCATCCATGCTTTACTTTGATTCCTTCAAATGAGAAGTTTTCCTTGTCAACAAAATCCAGGAGATTCTCCAAATACTATCAGGATACTATGATCACTCACTAAAAAGGTGAAATACTTCATTCCAAGATGCCTGCCTCCTGAGCAAATCAGACTCAGACCTGGGATAGTTTAAAACTAAATGCAAAGATCTTACCAATAAGAGGAGCTCCAAAAGAGTCTGACTCAGAGATTCAGACTCATTATTCTGAATTAAAATCCCCAAGAGGCTAAACCAAAATTGCAAACACAAAGCAAGGTTGGGAAATCCTCAAACACAACTCTCCAAAAAAAGCAAGAAACAAATCATCTCTCTGAATTTACAGCAGTTCCTTTTTGGACAGCCTCATGCTAAGGAGGTGGTAGTAAGTTTGTCTGACATCTAATACCTCCCTGCTGTATGAAGTACGCTCAACGCTAAAGCTTGCTGCAAACGCTCTGCGTTGACATCATGGCTATTGTACAGCTGGACAGACAAAGTGTTCTTATCATCTCTGAGATGCCCTGACTCCAGCAATGCTGAAACAGAAAAATCAGGTGAATAAACAATCAGTCACAGGGAGGGAAAATGCAGCCAGAAGAGGAAGACTCCTGGCAAGCCAAGGCACCGGCCCCTGCCAAGGATGGCCCTGCGCCAGTCACATGCGGGCAAGCAAAAGGTTGCCAAGTGTGGGATAAATATTTTTTAAAGATTCTTTCTCTCCTTGTAAAATGATATTTGATCCTTCCTTTTTTATACTGCTCCTGCCTTTTCAGAGCATCCTTCACATAACATAATGTTTCAGAGAGAAAAGGAAAGCAAAAAGCCTGGTTTTGAGAAGGAACCAGAAGAGGAAGGGAGCGTCGTCTTCTGGCCAACTACTAAAAAATTAGCTGTCTAAATTTATCCACAAAGACAAGAAAAAAAGCAGTCACTTTTGGATAGTTAATCCCTCTACATGACACAGTTTTTAAAGTATTGCATTTTAATGGTCTAAACTTTGGTATGGTCTTTCAAACAGCTGACTGCAAATGCTCAGGCAGCCTATACAAGACCTGATTTCTTTTGCCCAGTATACGGTGAGAATAGAGACTGGAGAAACATTAGTCAGAAAATCCAGTTCCAGTGATTCATGGCCAGGGCTGGAATCAAATAACTACAGAATAAAGGCTGCAATAAGGAAATAAACATATTAAATACATGCAGTAACATGTTCCGATCACAGAAACATGGGTACACCTCATCTGCAAAGAAATGAAGACACCACTTAGAGCAGCTGTATAACATATTCTGCTACAGAAACAAGTATTAGCAACATATTAATGACAGTGTATTGTCTCTTCTGTTTTCCTCCACTCTAAAACTGGTTATCTCAAGTTCAGGGGAAATCCTGAAGGAAAAACCCACTGCCACATCAAACTGCTTTCTAGTGGTTAAGGCACAAAGTTCGGCAGATGTTGAAATAAACTGCCAGATCTGAAAGGTTTAGTTCAACCCATCACTGATACTAGGACTTGAAAGTGATCATCTCCTTCCTGTTTAAATCTCTAGTATGTACACAGTCAAGCCCACCATAAAAACATTTGGACAGGTATAGGCAAACTTTCACCAAGAAGCCAGAGGAGAGCATTAAGTCTACAGCCTGCAAGGCTATGTCTGACTTGACATCATTTCACTAGTCACATGTTTCCATGTTTACATCCTAGTCGTTACCAGCCCATTTTATCTGGCAGACCTTCCCAAGGATCTTGAAATTATTCCGTGAATTATTTTCTTCCCACTATACAAATCCAGCTGAAGTTTAACTACATCTGGTTGGCTTCCACACAAAGCTTTTTGGTCTCCTGTGTCTTGGTATTTCAGTTTGTCACAGATGCTGCACACAATATCCCCTAAGTGAAAGAGTAGGTGTGATGAAGCATCTAGGACCTCAAAATAACTTCAAGGCTTTGCCCAACCTGACATCAGCCCACTAAAGGCTCAGTTTTTCATCATATGAAAGACTGATAAAGGAATCTACTCTTGTAACCCCTTCCTCAGGATTTTCTGGTTGAAAGCCAATGCCGTGCTGAACATCTGAATAGCCAGTTGTGCAACAGCTGGATCCAACTGCTCAGATAGAAGCACCTGTAGATGATTCTAGAGCAAAGGAAGTAGAAGAAAGGAGCCAAGACAGGTTAGGAGAAGAAAGCCCAACACAACTCAGCACCTGGAGACTCTCAGATGCAGTAAACAGAGAGGAAACATCCATCACTCCATGAAATAAACACTTTGCTGGAACATATTGTTGTGGTAAGGTGCTCCATGCCCTCTAGTTCTACAGGTTTTTTTGTTCAACATCAGTATTTTCCCTTCCCCTCAGAACAGTTTCAGTATGTAGAGCATTTCACACACATAAGCACAGCCACAGTGTAACGTACCTGCAGCTCTCCCTCCCAGCTGAACCCAACAGAGCAGCCTACTAAAACCAACAATGAAAAACCACCCAAAGTTGGGTACACTGCAGTTTGATGACACCTGCCCCTCCGGCCATCTATCATTCATTCTTTACCCTAGCAGACACCTCAAAACAGCTTCCAGGCTTCCCAGATGTGATACGTAACATGCATACTAAATCCACTTCACTCAGAGTGACTAGAAAACTCGAAGAGGCTATTTGGCACTGTAAAACCTCCCATCCCTTCAGGCCTGCAAGTGAAGCAATCAACCCTGCTAAAAGCTCAAGCAGCACTGCAGCTACTCATATCACACTGAAATTAGAGCAAATGGAAACCTGAGTGAAGAAAACAACCACCTCAAACCACAGTCAACAGGAACACGTAGATAGTACAGTTACTCCATTTGCTCCGAAGTGCGTAATGCTAACAACGAGGAAGGTGCAAATAAACACGGCTTATTGACAAACCCAGGCAGCACGAATTGCATTCTCTTTCAAAACAGTTTATGTTGCCCAGCACAACCCAGACTGGCATCATTGCAGCTGGCACTCAAGAGAAAGAGGAAAAAAACAAGTCTGTTTTGTCCCTTCCACACCAGTATTAATTCAGAACATAAACAAACCCAACTGAGGCGTATACACAA